ACAATATTTATTTCTGTAAATGAGTTTTCAAGTGCACTACAAGCATTAACTGGGACAGCAGAAGATATAAGTAGCCTTTATATATTTCCAACACCATATACCCGTAATATCAGTTCACACCACAGAATTATCTTATTTTTTCTGTCACCATGGACAGTTTTGGGTCCAAGATGATAAAATTAATGGGATAATCCTGAGACGGCTGTAATGTACTCTTAGTTTTTTTGGTTATATTATGGAACCCCTAAGCACCTTGTGAGCTGCCGCTGATTACCAATAGCCCATGTCACCTTACAACATTATTTCTATATGCAGTGTACTTTAAACTCCTAGAGGATAAAATACTACTATGGCTGCTACTAGAGATACTAATAAATACTAACATTTTTATATAATTCACCTGTTCTATATACTGTATATATTAAGGATGTGTTAAAGAATACATACTGATGCAAAATACATACTAATGTTCTAACGCAGTAGAACTTTGTTCATTGTTACCTTGTAGATTTTGGTTCACTAAACTACATACATTTTCTGCTGGATCAGAAGCAACAGAAATTATTCTGTTATCTGTGCATAAAGAACAGCAATCCTATGTAATGCTAGATCACTGTGATGCTGGGCAGACTACAACAATAAAGAGTTCACTTTTATATTGAAGCTGCACTGTCCATTCGGAATCAGTGGAAAACCATCTATTTTGGTGTCCACTTAAATCTCTGACTGCAATAGAAAGATACATAGGGGTTGATTTACTAATGGCAAATAAACTACTCACTTTGCAAGGGAAGTTGCACTTTGCGAGGATATTTTTCCCAGAGCTTAGTGAATGTGGTATAGTGTTAGTATGCACTTTTAAGGCTGTGCAAATTCCATAAAAGTTTCCATATATGTTGTCATTTACCCACCCCCCTTCTCCCGCCCTGTTAGGGAAAAAAAAATCATTGCTTCATTTTATTTATCCTCTGCTTGACTGGCTATTAATGGGATAATCTGGATTCCCTGAGCTACTGTATCATTTTGATCTTTTAGTAACTGATCTACGAAAATTGCAGGATGTGAGCAAAAAAGTCACTAGTCGGATTTTGGAAATCCACTAATGTAAAAGCCATCAAACCTCTAAGCCCAGGTACTTTACACTTGAGCCCTGAATACACATAAGCAAACAGCTGTACAGTCACCAAATGGGTCTGTGTATTTCCGCTGTTTGAAAATTCTCAGCCTGCAGTGTAAGCAAGTATTCGTACTAAAGTTAGACACACGCTTTTCATCCAGTACAACAAATGATCAGAACTTCATCCATTCCCTCATACTCTGCAGTCTTTTCCTGACCAATTGCTAGAATATTGTTTTCTTAAAAAATTTCACTATATTGCTAAATGTCACGCACACAAAACAGCCACTTCACTCATTTTAATTGCTGTTTAAACAAAACTGTTATTTCAGTTGTCTTAGAAACCTCAAAACACGTCACTATCTTTTTTTTTTTTTTTTTTTTTTTTTAAGGTTTGCAAACCCTCATAATTTTTAATCATCATTTGTAATTATGCATGTAATGTCATCCTTTGAATATTTTTAATTATATATTATTCTCTGTGCTAGAGAATTTGGATTCACCACATGCACTTTTACAGGGAAATAATGGGAGATTATTGTGTATGACTAACGTATACATACAGTATTTCACTGTGCTTTGATATCCATAGCCACAATATGTGCTTTTATGGAAACCCCATCCTACCTGCCTCACCTCCATGCTTGTATTTACCTCTAGATTCAGGGAAATCTCAGTGTAACGTTCAGGTACTCACAATACCAGAAATGAAGGCCAGCTTTCTGAAACAAGTGTACAGTATCGGCCAGGGGCAATGATCCTTTTAACATGTTATTCCATTCTTGTCCTTGGTGACCTTGGTACCCGCAAGTAGCCTCAAACTAACCTTCGAGACTTTTCCCCAGTGTTTATGAGGCATGTAAGGTCAGGGCAAGATCATTCAGCCGAACCAAAAATATTTTCTTGGTATGTAAAGGGTTTTAATAAGGTGGAACAAGGGAGCAATTTAAAGTTAAAGACATTACAGAACAAGGTAACCTTAAGACCGCTTGGGAAAATGATTAATATAAAAAGTAACATTTGTAATGGAAAAGTAGCAAACATTTTAATTGGATCTCAGCAGAAGGTCATCAATAGCAGATATTTGTATATATTCCTCAAATAAACACTGTTCAATCCAATGTGTGATGCTAGTTATGAATTATCTTATGCAGTAGATACAAGACATGCTAGCAAATAATGGCGGACAAGTTGTAACAATTGGTGTGGTTCACAGAAATTTCTCAGCATGCTAAAAACATTCAGACAATTCAGGATTATTCTTTTAAGGTAAGAGAATGAGTATTTATTGTTCATATGGAAATTAGAAATGGGACCAGAATTGGTCATATCCCTGAACACATCATAAAGCTGAGCCTAGATGCACTATATAAGTTATTCATTATATCAATCAATTGGGTAAGCTACATGGGCCTTTTGGCAATCAGTATTGTTCATAAATATGCAGCATTGTGCAGTAAAATCAGAATGAAAGCAGCAAGTTGCTTCTGAAAGAATAGCAAAGTCGTAGATAATCCTACCTTACTCAAGCAAAAGCAAAACACCCGAGAGCGGCGTAACCAAGTACGGCGTGAAATTCCTTCCTATTATACGATTTACACTCCTCTCCACAAATAACGCTCATACTGTGCCAGTGGTACACTGTCCCCGTGTTTACAATCCTCTCTTCCATCAAAGCGCAGGTCTTTTAATGAAAGCGGCACACAAGGACAGAGGGGGCCATCACATGTCCTGCGGGATTGTTAAACTTACACACACACACACAATATCGCTTGATGTGTATGCCATATGTTCTCCGTCTCCTTTTGCTCCAGCTTCTGACAGCCCCAGCTCGCTGGCCTTCCACAGCATGGAGAATGATTCCAGGCATGCTGGCTTCTCCCGTTATAATTGGATGTGTTAAATTCGCAGCCAGCAAAGTAGTCACTGCAGCCTTCCCTTTCCATGTTGTGTTTTTCTATTTTTAAATACTGCCAAACACCTCACACTTTTCTCAATACAAACAAAGAGAAGCTGATGCAAGTGACCAGTGGAGAGCAGACCAGGCTCCCCAGCTTTTTAGGAACAAGAAGTCTCAGCAAGACAACTAGGTGTGTTGACAATGTTCCCAATGTGCTGGAGTCACCCTGGCAGAGTATATCTAACACTAATCTGCATACAACACAAACTGTAAGAAAATACACCATTTGAATGTTGTCTTCATTGTGCTGAAAACTGCTGGCTTTCCAAAATTCACATCCAGTGACATCAGCCACATCTTCAGCGGAAGGAATGTAGTTTGAGGATTTCCAAACTCAGTCACTGTGGTTGATAACAAGAGCCTGATTTGGAAATTTCTTGCCAAGAAGAAACACAAAAACAGTTGTTACACTCCAAACAAACCATGCATTCCAACAAAGAAATCATTTATTTTTTATAATTCCAAAAAAGGTTTCCAAAAAAATCAAACCCATCAATTTTGTTATGGTTACAAAAGCAAAACCGCATACTACCACACTTCAGTGTTGTGCATTCTCCGCATTTTAAATAATCATTTTGTTGATTAATCAAGTTTTTGACAAGTTATATAAAAGTTATTTTAATCAGATCAGTTCTTAAAATGAACACAAGATCTTTGGGTTAAAACTGAACTGATATAAAAGATAAAAATGAATGCAGCTTTGTAATCATTAATACATACGTTCTTAAACATTTTTAATGCACTCAATACCTGAATTTGACTAGGTATGAGCCTCTTGAAAGGAGAAGCAGGACCAAAGCTCTTTTGGCCCTATGTCTCCTATGGATTATAGGATTGCAGTTAGTTCTGCGTTCCTGTAACCCGTTTTCATCCTCTGTCGGATGATGTCACTCAGCCAGTCCAGGTACTGGATCAATCCCGACTTTACAGTTGAGATCCACCCAGATGCCTGGACTGGCAACTGGTTCATCTTCTCAGCGAGCCACTCGAAGAATGAGCTAGCCGTTCCTGCCCCCTCCACAGCCCTGCGCTCCAGTGAGTGCTGGAGCGGCAGAACAGAGAACTGGTGACTGACAGTCACCAGCTTTGTGCTCACAGAAAAAAGACAGTGCTTGGACAGGGAAGGAGAAGCAGAAGACTACTGAGCTAATTTATCCATCACTCTGCTCTCTCCTCCTATCAATATGCTTATTGCACTTCTGCATAATTCACTGGCTCCTTGTGCTGTTTCTCTCTCATAGTCTGAGCTCTGTTGCATAGGGATAGCAAAAGGGTGAAGAGTAAACAGGTGGCGCACACACCCAGTGCATTATCCAAGGTGTACGCAAAAGATAAGACAAAAACATACTCACAGACGAAGCATGTATAACAAGCTTTTGCGTTAAGAAGATGGCCACAACGGCAAGCAAGGTGTTCCAACTGTCAGTGCAGTCAAATGGCTTGACGCGTTTCGGGGACAAGTCCCTTTCCTCAGAGCTGCTGACCAGCCTCTTAGACTGGTACAGATGTGTAGTGGATAAGGAGGACCGATGTTTTGAACAACGTTGCTGCTTATAACAGGTAACGTGAATAAACCTTGGGTAATGCACTAGGTGTGTGCGCCACCTGTTTATTCTTTATCTAGTGGCTGATCTCCCTGTCTGAGGAGGGCTGTACCCCTGAAGCATCTTCCTTTGGTTGCCTCTGTCCTGGTCCCCTTGGTTTCCCTTTGGCTGTCCATTTCCTGAAGCGCTGGAGAGTACATACGATAACAAAAAGGTGATACCATGTGATATTCAGGAACTTATACTGCTTGCATAAAGGAAAAAAACAACTTCATATTACAGTAATGATTATAAAATGTATGATGCTGACCCTTTGAAAATTACTATAGCTTCCCTTTAACCTCCCTAGCGGTATTCCCGAGTGTAGCTCGGGGTAAAGTTTCAGTACCAAAAGCGGTAACCCCGAGCTACACTCGGGCTTACCATGCGGCGTTGCTCAGGGATTCCCTGCAGCGCTTACCTTGTCCTTCGCTCCCGCGATGCGTCCCCTGCAGCGTCCCCGGCCATCTCCTCCGGCCGATGCCGGCATCCGGCTTCCGTGTTCCGGTCCCTGTGACGTAAGGACGTACGGGACGTACGGGCGCAAATTTGAAAATTTTAAAAAATGACTTTTTTCTAAAATGATTATTACATAGTAAAACATTCCTGTATCAAAGCATTTCACATACATTTTGTCCCCAGTGCTTTGTCCTGTGCCCTGCCTGCATTTTGACTTTTCTTTCTGCCTGGAGACTTAGAAAAGTCCATGGTGTCCAAAAAGCGTCCCTTTATGTCAAAATCGGTTTTAGACCGGCTAGAGAACAGCAATAGTAAATCAGAACCACTTGCAGAATTGAGTGATAATGATTCGTGGGGAAATTCGTCATTAGACACTGAAAACGATTCTGCGACTTTGCTCAGCTATGTGTGAACTTGGAGCTCTATTTCAAATTTCAGTGTTTTTGGTTTGATTATATTATTGAATTAAATTAATTATTATATTTTTTATGATTATTTATTAAATTATAATTTATGATTTCGTGTTTCAAGTTTTATCATATCCGGGATGTTTACTAGACTCTTGTTTGGACAGATTTCAGTGAGTTATTCCTAAATTACAGCCTACAATAAAAAACTACATATTTCCATGCAAAAAAATGGTACCGCTTTCAGCACCAAAAATCTGAAATAATCATACCGCCAGGGAGGTTAAGAACTTGAAGGCTATCTAACATTTCTTGCAGTGATGTAATTTATACAAAAGCTGAATAAGTTTATCTGGTGTGCCAAAATAAGTTTGCAGCTTATGTGAGTGAGAGAAAGGCCGCTTCCATCTGAAGCTTCTTATATAGGTATTTGAGTCAAATTCCCTTTAGGCTTCTATAAGATGGCAGCATATATCACAACATATGTTGTGTCTACCCAGCATGTTCAGTGCAGTCAATGTGCAAGGGAGGTGAAAACACAAACAGTCTTCTGAAGGTCTGATCAGATACTCGTGTATCGCCCCTTAGAAAGGCAGACAGAAATAGACAGACAGAAATAAAACCAGGTCAAGGAAAGTCCCAACTTCGTCCCCCCCTTCCCGAGAATGATGGGTAAGGTCCAGGTTTGGGTACTATAACCTGTCGGCAATTTTTAATAAACATAGTGAAGAGTCCTTTGTTTATGGCAAAATCTATCATTCAATCTAATATTTTGATTATTTCAGTATCAAAATACCGAAATATGGGACAGAAATTTACCAGAACAAATTCAAAAATTGTAGAAATTATCACAATGGATGTTTCCCTGATGAAAAAAAATTCAAGATTTTATGACTAAATGTATACATAGGGCTCATGCATACCACTCTAATAAACACGGCAACTGCACTGTGGTGCCATTCATTTTAACTGACACTAAAATGCACCTAGGCTGCACAGCACTACATATTTGCATTGTAACATCACAATGAACAGCACTTCGTTACAAAAAGAAAGTGGATGTCAAATTTTCAGTGCATTGTGGTGCGTTGGCAGTACATACTTTATTGCAGTGTGCAATGTGTTACTGCAATGCATTAAGTGTCAGTGTGCCAAAAGACTTTGTGAGCTGTGCAACTGGTGCTATTCTGACTACGTGCGTTACCACATCTACTATTTCATCATGGACAGCAAGTTAGAACAAAAAGCAAATGTGAAATTCTGTGTGAAGCTGGGTCATTTGACATGATTTGGCAAGTTTATGGCAATGGTGTAATGAATCGTTCGAGGTGTTTTGAGTGGCACACACACTTCAAGAGTGGAAGAACATCACTGGAAGACGACAAGAGATCAGGAAGACCTTCAACAAGCTGAACCCCCGAAAATGTCAAAAATATTCAGCAACTTGTGCACGATGATCATTGGAGAACAATCATTACTGGTGATGAAGCTTGGGTGTACAGGTTTCACACAGAATTTCCCGTTTGCTCTGTGTTCTAACTTGCTGTTCATGGTGAAATGGCAAACGTGGTAACGTACGTGGTGAGAATAGAACTAATTGCACAGCTCCCGATGTACACAGGACCAGGTCTTTTGGCACACTAACTTATGAAGGTCAATGCTCCATGTGACTGTGCGTGCAGCCTTGTGCTGCCATCTGTTGGCATGTTACAAAACTAGTCCCAAATCTTTTTGATACCACCTTGTATGTAAACGGTGTTCAAACCACACATGTGAAGTATCGCCGCGAAGGTCAGAGCAAAAGCAATAATTCTAGCACTAAATCTCCTCAGTAACTTTAAACCCGAAATTGACAGGTACTCGCTCCCACATCCGCTGCGATCGCCTAGGCGATCGGAAGCAGAAGTTGTCCTCCTACCCTCCCTCCCCGTAGTCTTGTGGGACACGTGACAGGTCCCAGAAGACAACGGGGCCATTCAGGAAGCGCAGCACTGCTCGCGCATGCAGTGGGCACCCAGCTGTAAAGCCGCAAGCTGTCACAGCCGGGTTCCCACACTGAAGATGCCGGCACCTGGAATACAGGACGTCCGGTGAAACGAGCTGCGGCGGGGGCACAGATGAGTGGCTGGTTTTTTAAAAGTCAGCAGCTACAGTTTTTGTAGCTGCTTTTATTTTTTTACAGAGTGAGTGAATCTCCGCTTTAAAGTATATTTTTTTCCCCAAAAAATTTAGTTTGAAAAATAGCTGCGCAAATACCGTGTGACATAAAAAAATTGCAAGAACTGCTATATTATTCTCTAGGGCCTCTGCTAATATATATATATATATATATATATATATATATATATATATATAAAATGTTTGGCTGTTCTAAGTAATTTTCCAGCAAAAAAACTGTGATTTTTACATATATGAGAGAAGTGTCAGAATTCACGCAGTAAGCAAGTGGTTAACAGCCTACAATATGCTTTCTTTACCAAGCCATTTTTCAGTTTTCAACACTGTGACAAGTTTGACTAACAATTAGGCCTCTTGCACACAAATGTATTAATTTAATGATATTTCTACATAGGATCTTGAGTTAATGCAAAAATTCTGTTCTATAAAGACCACGTGTATACACGCATACAGGCGTGCAAGCATACATACACATATACATGCATAAAATTTTTCTTCACCATCTTCTAGCTGCCAGCGCTTCAAATTGCAGCATCACTTAATAAATAGCTGAATAGGTGGTTTCAGATTGACAAGTCTCCTTTCAAACACCATCCACAATGCTGTCTTTTTAGCTAGCACACAGTGCTCTACGAATCGTCATGTAAAAAATATTAATATATAAAATAAAGTATGTGTATATGTATACAAAATGGAGGGAGGGGGCCTGTGTGATAAGAGAGGAAAGCCTCCTTAGCCGCCATAAAGAATGTGTATTTCATATCATTTTCCTCATTACAAATTTTGCATGGTATTACAGAGCATTACACGCTGCTATTTTGTATCATAGAGAAACATATGGTATTTGCTGTGCAGAATAGGGTACACAGCACACACACAATCATTGTATGACACAAACTGAACATCCTGTGTTTTTCAATGATAGCATCATTCGGTATCACAGCTGTCCAACTGCCTTCCTTATGTAATTTCCATGGAACATGACTTCCTTGTCCTCACTTGTTCAGTAACACATCATAAATTTTACACAACTTGTGCGATGCAAACACCTCTTCAGACAACCCCACAAATTGTTTATATCACATCTGTCGGATATACACAAACAGTTGTCATTTTTCTCAACAACTTCTTAACCTTTTTCCATAAAGATGCAATGGGTCTGATTTTGAGTAAATGAACAAGTGCAGATATCAACTGCTATAGTACACATGCATCATGAACTCACATGATTGTACACATATATAAACACAGCAAGCGTGAACCTTGAACCTAGCTACCAAATCATATACTGATGTTCATTATAGATCTGTTAGTTTAACATCTATAGTTGGGAAGATACTGAAGAGTTTAATAAAAGACCACATAGATGAGTTCTTGCTAGAAAAAAAATATTTTAGGCAACAGACAGCATGGATTAATGAAAGACAGAAGTTGTCAAACAAATCTGAATTCTTTTTATGAGGAGGTGAGCAAAATCTTGTACAGAGGGGTGGCGGTTGACACGATAAACTTGTACAGAGGGGTGGCGGTGGACGCGGTATACTTGGACAGAGGGGTGGCGGTGGACACGGTATACTTGGACAGAGGGGTGGCGGTGGACGCGGTATACTTGGACAGAGGGGTGGCGGTGAAGGCGGTATACTTGGACAGAGGGGTGGCGGTGAAGGCGGTATACTTGGACAGAGGGGTGGCGGTGAAGGCGGTATACTTGGACAGAGGGGTGGCGGTGAAGGCGGTATACTTGGACAGAGGGGTGGCGGTGGAGACGGTATACTTGGACAGAGGGGTGGCGGTGGACACGGTATACTTGGACAGAGGGGTGGCGGTGGACACGGTATACTTGGACAGAGGGGTGGCGGTGGACGTGGTATACTTGGACAGAGGGGTGGCGGTGAAGGCGGTATACTTGGACAGAGGGGTGGCGGTGAAGGCGGTATACTTGGACAGAGGGGTGGCGGTGGACGCGGTATACTTGGACAGAGGGGTGGCGATGGACGCGGTATACTTGGACAGAGGGGTGGCGGTGGACGTGGTATATTTGGATTTTGCAAAAGCGTTTGACACAGTTCTCCACACATGGCTAATGTGTAAGGTAAAGTGTACAGGCTTGGAAAAATCCGTATATAAATGGATAAAAAAACTGGCTAAAAGACCGTATTAAAAGAGTAGTGGTTAATGATTCATACTCTGAATGGACTAGGGTTGTCAGTGGTGTATCCCAAGGGTCAGTATTGGGACCCTTACTTTTTTTAATATATTTATAAACAATATAGGGTCTGGGATTATAAATCCCATTTCAGTCTTTGCAGATGACACCAAGCTGTGCCGTGGAATAACGTCCTTACAGGATGTCTCCAACTTACAAGCCGACCTCAATGCTCTGTGTAATTGGGCAACTATGTGGCAAATGAGGTTTAATGTTGATAAATGTAAGGTTCTGCACTTGGGGGCTAAGAATATGCATGCATCATACATACTAGGGGGGGTACAACTGGGGGAATCAATGGTGGAGAAAAATCTGGGGGTTCTGATAGAGCACAAGGTTAATAATGGCATGCAATGCCAAGCTGCGGTTTCTAAAGCGAGCAAAATCCTCTCTTGTATTAAAAGAGGTATAGACTCCAGAGAGAGAGATATCATT